TTGTTGATTATATTGTGGTCACATGTTAATTGTTTGTTGTGCAAAAGCCAACTATTCACCATGCTCACCAATTGAAGAAGTAAGTCGGCAGGATCATCATTGAAATCAAAGACGATTATATATATATATATATTTAGCCACAAATTATATATATTGGATTACACTGGAAAGTTTGCTAATTTATTCCATTTCTTCTTCTTCTTTTTCTTTCTCTCTCTGTTTCTCTTTCTAGATTGATGTGTTATTATCATAAGAAATTAAGAGAAAGAGAACAAAATCAAAATCATCACATTTCTTCTATTGTAAATGTGATGATTTATTTTGTGACTAAGAATGTGATGATTTTGTGTAAATTGATGTAATGATTTTTAGAAGGACTTTTGTGATCTAAAAGCAAAATGATTTTGTAACTCTTAGACTATTACAAGAGAGGAGAAGTTGAAATGTCAACAAAATCCCACCTCAAGAACAAAACCAATTTGAAAATATGATATCTGGTGATGAACAATTTAGTTTAATAACATTGCAAGGATGCGGTTTAGATACTTCATTTGATTTTTACTTCACTGTAAGGGTTATATATACAAGGGTAAATTAGTCTTTTTACGTCTGTCATTAACAGTGTTAACTGTGCACTTTACTCCATCAACTACAGGGGTTATGTAGTGATATTCGAACGTTAGTGGGGTAATCTGCACATGACTTAAATTATAGGAGGTAAAGTGAAATTTATCCTAAATAAATTTGTGACAAATCAAAAATTATCTTATAACATACTAAAATTATTGTAAGCGAATTGTGAAATTTTTTTAAGAGACTCAATCCTTTTTCTTTTGGACAAAGTTTCCATTTAATCCATTAATTGAACTCTCGGTTTAACTTTTAACATTTAGTGATCATATCATCCATATCGGTAATCGCAACATCAAGGCATATATTTGTTGTAAAAAAAATAAAAGATAAGATATGCTTTTAAGAATATATTGACTAATTTTTTAAAATTAAATGTAATTTAATTAAAGAATTATTGTTATTCAATCAATTTAAATGATCTATTATAAAACCATACAAAATAAACCCTCGGAATCAATAAAATAGGCCTAGAGTGGCTCAAATCTGATCACCTAAATTTCAATTTAATGAATGAATTTAGTTAGAGTAATATTACTCTCATTCAAAATTTGGAACTCTTATATCATTTTCCTTTATTTGATTGAAAAATACTAAAAAGTCCACTTAAGTATTTTAAATTTATCCCGAATAAAAGTTATATAATTGCCTATTGAATTTATATAATATAACATTTATATATAAAATAAATTTGAACAAAAGATGACAATTTTCAAAAAATTCTCAATGGGTAATTTTAAATTTGTAGTATTAATCAGTGTGTATGGTTTTAATTTTCTATAAATTAAATTTTTTATTTTTTGTATTTTTTTTAGTGAAAATTTTAAAAATTTTAATTTATTTTTGTTTTTTTAGATACATCTTACTTAGATATATCTAAATAAATATTTATGAAAAAATATTTTAAAAAATTAATAAATACACAAAAATATGAAAATGTACTGAATTTTTATTTTTATTTTTTTGTATTTTTGGTATTTAGTGAATTTTTTAAAGATTTTTTTATAAATATTATACTTTTTAAGTGTATTATATTAAGTGTGTTTAAAAATTAAAAAATTTATTTAAATTATTAAAAAAATTTAATAAAAATAAAAATATATATATATAAAAAACAAAAAATAAATATTTCTAAAAAATAAATTTAAAAAAAAAAAACCAAACAGAGTGAATGAGTTTTTGTATTAGCAATCCGTAAACTTCCCTCTTTCCTATGATTTTTATGACGCTGTAAGATTCTCACCTACGTGGCGCAATCTATGCCTAGGGGTGCAATTTTGGCCCGTGGCCTGTGAGTGGCTTGAAACTCGCCCGCGACCTGAGGTGGGCCCGGCCCGTTAAGGCCCGAGTCCAAGCTCAGCCTGAGGCCATAGGCGAGGGCCTGGGCCATCTTTTTGAAGCCCGGCCAGGCCCGTGGTCCGCCCATGGGCCCGCTCAAGGCCCGCGCCGAGGCCCAGTGTTATTTTTAATGGAAAATAATAAAATTTTGATAGAAAAAATTTTAAAAAATAAAAAAAAAATTATTTAGGCCCGCCCAAGCCTGCCCAAAGCGCCAGCCCAGGGGCCTCGCCCACTTGCCCGGCCATAGTCCGAATATCCCTGGGCCTAGGCCTAGCTTTTTGGCCCGTGGGCCGTCTCGGCCTAGCCCGATTTTTTGGCAGGAGCCCGTAAGGCCCGACATGGGCCCGGTCAGGCCAAAATTACACCATTATTATGTCGTAGTTCCTGCATAAAACAACGGCATCATCGACAGCTTAGCTTAAAGGAGATGGGGATACTGTTGTGTCTCAGATATGCTCTTTGGGAAAGGTTGTCTTAAGTATTTTTTCGATAATCTGAATTGTTCATATTGTAAGGTTTATTAATAATATTATTTATGTAAACAATCAAGTTAATCGGATATTCAAAACTCTATGATTAGGTCCTAATTGTTTTTAAAAATTTATGAAAGTTATGTTAACCGTTAATTTTTATAAAAATAAATATGTTTTGATTATAGGATTACAGATATCCAATCAACTTAATCTGTTGTATTAATAATTTATTCAATAAATCTTACAATTTAAACAATTCAGATCATCAAAAAATATTGGGGACAACCTCTCACAAAGGACACAACAATAATTACTGTGCCTAAGATACAACAATATCCCGAGTTCAGTTTTAAAGGATAAATACACTCATGCCTCCTGACAATTACATCATATCTTATCTGGTTTTAATAATTATACTAATTTCATTTATTTTCAAAATTATTATCGAAAATTTTTCACCCTGTTAAGTTTATATAAAAGACATTAGTCAGGTGTAAAAATAATTATATTACTCTTTGATTTGTATTGTGAAAAGATAAAAATATTCATAAACTAAGAAATCTCATTCATTGTCGACATGAGCAAATTACACTTATTTCTCTTGAGATTTTATATATATATATATTTTAGCATTATTTAATAAAATTATTAAATTTTATGAAAAATTAAATAAATCCCTTAAATTGCTAAGGAATTATTAAAACATTTAATGGCAAAAAACCCCCCTTAATTTTCATGATAAAATACTCAAATATAAACAATATCTCTAGAATTAAAAAAAAAATCAAATAATAAATGAATTACTTAAAATGATAAATTTTACATTATTTATGTAGTGTTGAATAAGTTTTGAATTAAATTAGTAGGATTTATCGAAATAAATGGATTTTTTTTTCCCGAGAATTTGCATTACTCATTTATTTATATGTAAAAAAAATATTATTTTATCTTTTCTCAATCATATGTTATTCTCAAATTTTAATTTTTATCTTTGAGTCATTAAACTTGTAGTCGATGCATTTTTTTTTTACAGTTAATATTTCTTACATGATTAAAAAAAATTAAAAAATAAATATAGAAGCGAAAAAAAATAACCTCCCCTGAGGTTACTGGCAATTAAACCAAACTAATTCATTATAAAAATTAATCTTAACCTTAAATACACTAAATTTAATTTATCCTGTTAAATATACATGAAATTATTATTTATTTTTTTATAAAATTTTCAAAATATAAATGTAATTTCTTGACCCTATTCTTTCTCACAACAAATTTTTGAACTTTTATGAATAAAAAATAAAATAAAATAAAAATTCAAACATTAATGAAGGTGAGAAATTGATTTTAAAATTTAATTTAATAAAAATTGTTTAAATGAGAAAAATAAAGATGAAGAAGTAGATTTTAAGTATCATAGATGACAAATTATTTGAGTATTTTATTATTCTCAAATAATTTTTTCATTTAAGTAAAGATTAATTTTAATTTTAGGTGTAAGAAATGACAAGTTGTTTGAATTTTTTATTATTCTCAAATGATTTCTTGATCATTCATTCACTATTAACTAATTTTAATTTATTGTGAAGTGATTAGATTTTTTTTACTTCTATATTTATTTTTTAATTTTTTTTTATTGTGAGGCGATTAGACTCTTTTTACTTCTATATTTCTTCTTAATTTTTTTTAATCATGTAAGAAATATTAACCTACATTTTTTCTTTAATATGTTTTGATTAGAAGTTTAATGACTCAAAAATAAAAATTAAAAATTGAGAATAATATACAATTGAGAAAAGGTAAAATGATAATTTTTTTACGTATGAATAAATAAGTAATACAAATTGTCGAGAAGAAAATAAATACATCTATTTCAACTTTTAAAAAAATTCAAATAATAAATACATTACTTAAAATAATAAATTTTACGTTGTTTATGTTGCGTGGAATAAGTCTTATATTAAATTATTAGAATGTTCTATAATATTAATTTTAGAAAGATTGTTTATTTTTAAGTATTTTTTTAATAAAAATTAAAATAATTTAATAATGTCTTAACGATTTAAGAGTTTTTATTTAATATTGTATAAAATTTAAAAATTTTATTAAATAATACTAAAATATGTATGGGTCTTTGATAAGATATATATGTAAAATTTTAGGAAATGTGAATAAAATTTCTCATTTGAATAAATAAGGCAACTAATAGGCAATTTCGTCATTTTTGATATTATAATCTATGACATGAGAATGATATTAACAAATTTTGTTAAATAATCTAATAATAGAGCAATCTTAATAATAATTTCAAATATAAGAGAAATTCAGTGTAATTATGTAAACTACATAGGAAGTCTTTGCAATTATCAAAATTTCAGGAAAGTAAATGTAATTTACCCTAGTTTAAATAAACACCCCCTCCCCCCGACACGTAAAATTCTCTCTCTCTCTCTCTGTCTAATCACTATCTAATCATCTGAGCTGAGAAAGTTTCTCCCACCCACCCAGGGAATGTAAATGTGAACGAAGAGTCAGAACGAAAATGATTATTTACTATTATTTTTTTAAAAGTAAATATTTACTAAAGTAATGTTATATATAACAGTAGTTAGCTTAGCTAGCTATGTAATGTATCGGTTTGGTATTTATATATATTGGAGGAATTATTTCGAACAAATCTCAACTACTCTATTCACGACTGGCCACAAGCGTTGAAATCGTGTCCAGAGATCGGTTGAGAGGTGTTTCTGAACCTTGCAGGCGCTATCCTTGTTTTCTCTCTAGTCTTTAGAGAGAGAAACTTCATTAACAAAAACCAGACAACTTAGAGAGAAAGAAGAGAATTGATTACTTTCGAAAAAATGAGATCATCGTCGTCATTCGGAAGCGGAAGCTCCCGGAGATCAAACTACAGCCGTACATTCGACTTTCCTGAAGAATCCAGAGACCACGGCGTCGCCGGATCAATGCTGCCTATGTTTCTCAACGACTTGAGACAGAATAATCAAAATAAAAAATAAAATAAAATAAAATAAACATGACGACGACTCCATTGTCGTCTGCAGCGTCACGCCGACTTCGAATTCCAATCTCGCCGTTGCCGGAGAAGAAGCCGCCGTCAACCGAATTTTAGCGAGGAGTCTCTCCGCTACGTCGAGGATTTGCAGGAAATTCTCGTGGCTGAGGTCGTTGTCGACCGGAATGCAGTCGGAGGACGCCGATGAGCTGCCGGACTCTGGTTCCGCACGCGATGCGAGGAAAGTCAAAGCGAAACTTGATCGGACGAGATCGAGCGCTCGGAGAGCTCTGAAAGGGCTCAGATTCATCAGCAACACCACCGGAAAGTCAGACGAGCTCTGGAACAAGGTGGAATCGCGGTTCGAATCGCTTTCGAAAGACGGTCTGCTGTGTAGAGAGGATTTTGGAGAATGCATTGGTATTAATTATTAAAGCTTCTATTTAATAATCAATGCTTTTTTTTCTTCTTTTTTTCCAATGGCGATAAACAAGCCAATTCGATGCTTAATTTTGCATGATTTTTGGATGATCTTGATGTTGTTGTTTTGAATTGTATTATGTTTGATAGGAATGGTTGATTCGAAAGAGTTTGCAGTGGGGATATTCGATGCACTGGCGAGAAGAAGCCGTCAGAGGCTTGGGAAGATAACGAAAGAAGAGCTTTACAACTTCTGGTTGCAGATTTCGGACCCCAGCTTTGACGCTCGTCTTCAAATTTTCTTCGATATGTGGGACTCTCTCTCTCTCTCTCTCTCTCTCTCTCAAGTCTCAATTCGTCCTTTGTCCAGCTTCTTACCGCTGATTTGTTCATTGCGATCGTGTGTCAAACAAATCTACGGCGGATGAGGCCGTTTTTTTTTTTTTTTTTTTGGTGGTGTTAACGTCAAACAAAAATAATAAGATATTCATTTTGACTGATAAAAATAATATCTTATCGGTAAAAAATTTATTTGAAAAGATTTGTGAAAAAAATTTACGTAATTATAGCAGTGCTCTAATGGAAATACATTTTTCGTAATTGATATACATACTTTTTTAAAAAAACTAAATAAAAAATTATTATAGAATGATATTATCTTAAAGTAAAAGATTCAACAATATCTATATTTAAAATAAAATTAAAAAAAAAAGTCTCTGCTATATTTTTTTTTCATAAATTTTATAGAAAATTCTATAATCTGGGTTATTCTACATTTTAACCCTTGCAAGAATATTTCTCTTATAATTGAATTTGTGAGAAAAGAAGGAAAAAAAATTCAAACTTAATTGGAAGCAACCAATAATTAATTAACAACAATAATATTCACACTCAACTTTAATTTTCTAAACTTTTTTTTGCTTTTGCTTTTGTATTTTGTTTTTTAGTCTCTCAAAAGTATAATGCTATAGAATTAGAGTATGAATATTATATTTGATAAATCGTTTGCTTGATTAACATAAGAAAATTTGTTTGGTTTCTCAGGGTGGATCGTAATGAAGATGGAAGAATCACGCAAGAGGAAGTCCAAGAGGTAAGACAATTACCGTTTTTTTTAAAAAAAAAATTATTATTAATTGTTTTAGATAAATTACAAATATCTTTGAAATTATATTTTAAAAAATTTCAGATAAAAATTATGGGAAAACGACCCACAAACCTCCCAATCATTTATTAACATGGGAAAAAGATTCTTAATGGAGGTGTTAAGTAGCCAAACCAATTTTTTTCTTATTTATATTTATATCAAACAACATTATTGTATGGATTGGTGATCAAGGCAAGCTTAATCTAGACAAACACATTTATATTACGAATGGAAGTGGTTGAACTATTTTTGATAAAAGATTAATCTGCCATCATTTGTTACATCTGTCCTTTATTCTATTAAAAATGTTACATACGTTATCCATTTTTTGTCATTGTCTTTTATATGAATTTTTATGATTAATTCTTTGTCTGCAATTTATGTTAAAAAGTTCGTGAAGATAAATAATATTTTATAATTACCTACTACGTTAATATAAATATTGTACAAATATATATAATATGTAGCAGTCCTCCTGTTTCGATTACCATTATATTGATTTAATAGTAATATAAATTTTAAAAAAATAAAAAATAAAATAAAATAAAATAAACATGTTATATGTGACGGATCTCTTGTTTCCATTAGACATTATATTCATTTAAAATTTTGGAGGAACATTATCTTCAATAATGCCAAGAACATGGAGGCGTTACATTTGGTAGAATAATAGATAAAGTACCCAATTAATTAAAAGAAAATGACAACTACACTAGAATTATGGAAACATTTTGTGTCGGTTTTCTTTTTCTTTTTGTTCTGATTTTATTTTATTTTATTTCCGTTGATTGACCTTCTTTTTAGCCGCGGTTTCATTTCTGGCGTAGTGTAGTGTGAACATAAGCCCAATGGGCTGTGTGTCTGTGAATGCCTATGCCAATCTGATGGGCTGTAAATATTATTTTATAGACTATACATTTTGCATGTTTTCTAGCTTTAGCCTTAGCCTTTTGGGGCTACGAGAGACTCCAAGGTGTAAATGGTCCCGTTTGGTGTAGCTGTTTAAACAGCTTATAGATTATAACTTAACAGATTATAGATTATGACTTTAATCAGAAGTTGTTAATCTGTTTGGTGTACCTATTAGATTATACATTTAAGTTGCTGAGTAGTGTTTGTTAAATAAACTGTGAAATAGTTTTTTCAATTAATTTTTATTTTTTGTTTGTCTACATTTCTCCTAAAAAATAATAATAATAATCTATAGTCCATTTGAGTCTTTTTCTATTTTTAAAAAAATAAAAAATAAAAAAAATTAAGAGTACAACTATAAATTAACATGTCCACAGCAGAAGCTGATAATCAGATGCAAGGGGTGAGCAGCTTCTCAGAATCAGCTTTTTTGAGTTAAAATAAGCTGTTAGAATCAGAAGCTGTTTGAAATAAGTTTAACCAAACAGTTCAAAATAACTTTTTCAAAGCTAAAAGTCATAAGTTGACTCTGAAAAGCTGAAACAAACACCCCCAATATCCCCTCCGAGGTACTTGTTTGGTGCGTAGCTTTACGGCAAAAATAAAATAAAATAAAATAAAAATAAAAAATTGTAGGACAAGTTTCCCTCTAATTTATTCAATTTGAGGTGATTGTGGGCTCATGTTTGGTCTATTTCAGTTAATCAAAGTGTTCATATTATTGGTTTTATCATACAGATAAATAAAATTTAAATATGTGATTATTTATATTCGATCAATCTTAATTTTTTATTTAGATAGTTTATTTGATAGGTCTTACATTTTAAACATTTTAATCACTGAAATGGATTAGAATGGGTTCAAAATTCCCACCCTCTTATTTCTATATATATTGATGAGGCTATGTTTAACTGTTATTTTTTTTTTTTCCTTCCTTTATTTATTTATTTTAAAATTTAATTGCAGCTTCTACTCCTCAGTGCTTCGGCGAATAAATTGTCCAAATTAAAGGAGCGAGCGGAGGAGTACGCTTCATTAATAATGGAAGAGCTAGACCCTGAAAATCTTGGTTACATTGAGGTAAGTAGGTTTTTTTTTTTTTTTTTTTTCACACAATCGTGGCAAGTTAGTTACCCTCCTTTCCTAGGAGAAATTTTAATCCAATATTTTTCTTATTGCAATTGCCTCCCGTATTTGTTAGCATGTGATAATCTTATGCATTGTAACATGAAAATGTAAATCCACTAGAATTAGGCTTTCTTCAGCAACCTCTTGAAAACCAACTTATCTTTGCGTTGACTTGTGAGGAATGGACCTATAAAGCATGAACATTCCTGGAGGTAATGGACAGATGTCTGACATGTGTCAGACACAAACAAGCTCCGAACATATGTCAAACACGTTAGAGAGAGTCGGACAGGCTAGGACACTTGGGATATGTTGAGGGTAGAATTTTTTCTTTTTCTTTTTTTTCTTTTACTAAAATAGTGTACCAAGATTGATAAATTTAAATATTAGAAAAAATGAGATCATAAATATGTAAAATATGTTTTGCACATGTCTTAAACATGTATCTTGCATTTTTTAAAAATTTACATATCCACATGTTTGTGTCGTATCACGTGCCTGTGTTTGTACTTCATAGGAATAGACTGGATTGACAAAAAAAACAAAAAAAAAACATCTTGTTCGCTTGTGACAATCATGGGAGATCATTTTTATTTTTATTTTTAAAGTGCATACAAGCATCTCCCATGAGGTGAGACTCATTAAATGTGTAAGCAAGGTTTTTAAACCCGGACCGGCCTGGTCGGTCGAACCAGGAATCGGCCCTTCTTCTGGTTCGAAAAACCCTCAAAACCCAAACTATGCCAAAAATCGGCCTTATTTGTAAAAATTGGAAAAATCGGTGGTTCAACCGAGAAAACCGATGAATCGGTGCCAGTTCTGGACCAACCCGGTCTGGTTTTCTAAGGGGTTTTTTTTATATATATATATATATATTATCAAGCTTTGACTAAAAACTCTTACTTTAAGAGTCTTCTCTCATGAGGAAAGTCTCATTGGAAGCTTGAAGAAATTATGAAAGTCTATTCCTATTTATAGAAAAAAAAATTATTTAAAGAGAACCTAAAAATTCAATGTGGAATTCAATCAAATTGTTTGAATCATATTTGATTGGAGGGAGAGTTGAAAATTTCATTTTCCTCCAAAATTAAATCTAGCATTCAATCAATTTGTTTGGAGAGAATGTTAAAATTTTTTAATTTCTTTAAAACTAGTGATTTTTTTATTTATTTTATCAATTATGACTTTATTAAATATTATTAGAAAATATTATGCAATTCTTTTTTTTATTATTTCAGTAATTATATATATTTTTATTTATTTATAATTTATAATTATGTTTTTAATTATATAATATTAATTATGACGTCACGGTTCGATCCTTCGACTCGATAGTTAAACCAGTGACCCGTCCAGCTGGTCTTTTTTCTGGTTCGCTCACCGGTCCAGTTTTCAAAACATTGTGTGTAAGGTTGTGTTCGATTCCATAATTAGATTATAAATATTTAAAAAAAAAAAAAAAAATTTGTTTCGGGGGTTCATTGAGGAAACTTTCTAAGGCAGTTGAATTGGCTTTCAATCAGATATGGCAGTTGGAAACGCTTCTCCTACAAAGAGACACCTACATGAACTACAGCAGACCTCTCAGCACAGCCAGTGTGGGTTGGAGCCAGAACTTGAGTGCATTAAGGCCCACGGGCTTAGTGCGCAACGTGAGCTGCACACTCAAGTGTCTGATACTAGATAACTGGCAAAGGGGTTGGATCTTGCTGCTCTGGTTCATGGCCATGGCTGGCCTCTTTGCCTGGAAGTTCAATCAATACAAAGAAATGGCAGCTTTTGAAGTAATGGGTTATTGCCTGACGACTGCTAAAGGAGCCGCAGAGACTCTTAAGCTCAACATGGCTCTCATCCTCTTACCAGTTTGCCGGAACATGCTGACGTGGCTCCGGTCTACTAGAGCCCGGCATTTTATCCCTTTTGACGACAACATTAATTTTCACAAGGTATGAATTATTCCGCATTGGTTTAACAAGTTAAATTTCATCACAGAATGTGCCAAACAATCAATTTTGCTCCCGTTTCTTTTGACACAAAATATTTTTAGTAGAAAACTTATCATATGTTTGGTTGCGATCTTAATGTGTTAGTGGTTGTGATAGTGATGGTGTTGGGGTGGTGGTGGCGGCGGCAGGAGCTGGTGGACAGTGGGGCAGATGACAGTGCTGGTGTTGGCAAGACTGGATTAGAATTCTTTGCGATCATCCACCCTTGCAATAGTGGGTTAAGATTCTGGTGGGTTAAGATCTTAACCAATTATTGCAAAGGTTGAATATCACAATTTGGGCTGTCAAATCACCATGACAAGTTTATTGATAGAATGAATCATTGTAGAAGATCTTACTCTGACAAGACTTTAATATCAAAAAAGTTTCACCTTTCAGAATAGAAAACATTTTCCATTGAATTATGTTATGAGAAATGTTAGGAATCATGAAAAAAATTTCATGAAAATGATCATGAAAAATTTGTGACCCTTGGATTACTTTGATTAGTGTGTGGTGTTTTATTCTAAGTGTAATCCAAAGGTCACAAATCTTTCATGATCATTTTCATGAAAGATTTTTCATGATATCTAACACTGCTTGTTAAAATACATTTTCTATTGACTTTCATTTTCCCTTTAACCAGAAATTGCTTTCCGTCAAAACAAACATAGCACTAATAAGAATAGTCGTTATTTTCACATCCAAATTTCTTCCCTAAAAGTTCAATCTTAATTTCCAGATAATTGCGTGTGCCATAGCAATCGGAGTCCTCCTCCATGCAGGGAATCACTTGATATGCGATTTTCCTCGCCTCGTCAACTCTTCACCAGAAAAATTTGCCACCATAGCCACTGACTTCAATAACATACATCCCACATACAAAGACCTCTTAAAGGGTGTTGAAGGCGTGACAGGGATTTCCATGGTGATTCTAATGACCATCGCATTCACACTAGCAACAAGACACTTCAGGAAAAATATTGTGAAGCTGCCTGCACCTTTCAACCGATTGACAGGCTTTAACGCATTCTGGTATTCTCATCACCTTTTCGGTCTAGTCTACGTGTTGCTGCTAATTCATGGAACATTCGTGTTCTTGGTACACAAATGGTATGAGAAAACGGTAAGCACTCTGAAATAAGTATTCGATGCTATACAGTAAATTTAATTTAAGAGAGGTGATATGTGTTTTAGTACTCAAAAGTGACTAAAGATGTTCTGTTGTTCCAGACATGGATGTACATCTCTGTTCCTCTTTTCCTCTATGTGGCAGAGCGGAGTCTGAGAACTTGCCGATCAGAACATTACTCTGTCAAGATATTGAAGGTAACTTTATATTTTTCTTTTTCTTTTTCTTTCTGGGCTAAAGACAATTATGCATTGCCAAAAGAAAGGTTCTAAGGGGTATAATTGAAAGAAATGGAACTGACAGTCTAACAGATTCTTTCTAGTATTAAGGACTTGATGTGCATTTTGAATTAGAGAAACAATCGCATTACACAGGCCATTTTAGCAGCTGCAAATTAGTCCTGCTGTAAATTGTTTGAATAAAAAAGATTTACTCGAGATTCTTACAGGTTTCAGTACTACCAGGAGATGTCTTCAGCCTCATCGTGTCAAAACCAAATGGTTTTAAATACAAAAGTGGGCAATATATATTCCTACAATGCCCAACAATCTCCCCATTCGAATGGTAAGTCTTATTCTTTGCAAGCCAACTCCTACTCTCACTTGACTTTGAGCTTTTTAGAGTAGCCTCTTGAATCTTGACACCTCTCCAGGCATCCGTTTTCAATAACTTCAGCGCCAGGAGATGACTACCTGAGTGTTCACGTCCGGACAGTAGGAGACTGGACACAAGAACTCAAGCGAGTATTCACTGAGGATGTTGGCTCAGCATCTGCAATTGGTCGAGCAAAATTTGGGCAACTGGGAAACATGGATCGAAGAGGGTAACTTCATTTCCTGCCTAAAATATATATTCAGATAAATCATTATCAATACTGGTAGAGCAATCTACGTACTCAACGTAACACGTTGGCGCAGTTTGCCAAAATTGCTCGTTGATGGACCCTATGGCGCTCCAGCACAGGACTACAAAAATTATGATGTCTTACTTCTTGTCGGGCTTGGAATTGGAGCTACTCCTTTTATAAGCATCCTCAGAGATCTGTTAAACAATACAAGAACAGAAGACCAAATGGTACAATTGTGTATATACAGTTGTTTATTTATTGCTGTTTTGCTAATCCAATATGAGGAATTTCACTATATGTTGTACCCCTATGCTGACTCAGGATTCCAACACTGAAGCCACCAGTAGATCAGATGATAGCTTTACCAGTTTTACTTCCTCAAACCTGACTTCAAGTGAAAAGAAGAAATTGCAGGGGACCACAAATGCTCATTTCTATTGGGTTACAAGGGAACCCGGCTCCTTCGAATGGTTTAAAGGGGTGATGAATGAGGTCGCAGAGATGGATCACAAAGTAACACCCATTACTTTCTCATCATCATCTATCATGATTACATAGTCCTTTTGTTTTGTTTTTTGTTTTTGTTTTGTTTTTGTTTTTGTTTTGTTTGTTTTGTGTTTTTTGAGTTATAAATTGACCATGTTTTCCTTTTCTCCTTGAGACAGGGTCAAATTGAGATGCACAATTATCTTACAAGTGTTTATGAAGAAGGCGATGCCCGGTCAACCCTTATCACCATGGTTCAAGCTCTCAATCATGCCAAACATGGGTTTGACATCTTATCTGGCACCAGAGTATGATCTATCATTATCTTTTAGCTAATATAGGAATAATTTAATACAAACAAACGATAAAAAACTATCATGATTAAATAAATTTGGTATAAAAATTTAGTCACCGCAACATATATTGTTGAATGAAATAATTTTGTGAAGGGGGAAAATATGCTCCTGACAGTACAGGTAACATGGACATTATTTTGTTGGCAGGTGAGGACACATTTTGCCAGACCAAATTGGAGAGAAGTCTTCAACAAAATAGCTTCAAAGTATCCGTATGCTACAGTAGGTAAAGAAATTTTTGAAAAAACCGTACATGCACATGTATGAAAGGGGCACCTTTTGACCTGAGTTCTAAATGTCTCTCCCAGTTCATAGACAACTGTGTGATCAGTGGTCAACTTATGACACAGAAATATAATGAGTGAAAATGTGACAAAATGTACAAGAAATATGAGAGAACATACAAACACATGATTATAAATAATTAACTGGGCTCATTTAGTTGGCAAGAATCATTACACTTCACTAAGAGTATCTCCAACGCTTCATCAAATTTTTTATTGAGTAAAAATTTGATCTAATATGATGCACTCTAATGATAAAGAATACATTTTCAGCAAATCATCCAGTCGCCTGGTGTAGAATAAATTTTCATCAAATCTTTTTATAAAATTCCTAATTCATCCCAAAGCCTAGTTGACACACAAGTTGTCCAGTCGGTCATCCACCAACGGCCACTTACAAAATTTGATGAAATGATAAAAGCTCTCTTAATTTGATGAAAAATATAACTCTCCATTCAGTTTATATTAGTTTGATAAAATGGTTGAAGCACCGTTTTATTTGAGATTTCATCAAATTTAAAATTTGATGAAGAATTAGAAATAGAGTATGACACAAAAAATTCAAGTTATGATATGACAACAGGATAGGTAAGTAGTGCTTCACTACCGACCCGAGTCATATGTAGAGAGGCAAATTGAGAGGTTGCGGGGTAGTACTAGTAAAAGTGAGATAATTTGGTACATTACCAATAATGATTTATAAATAATAAGAGTTCAAAGATGTAGAATGAGAGATAGACAAGGAAAAATGCATGTTAAAGTGTAATAGTTTGATATTTTAATCTTGCTATATTTCAGAAAAATAAAATATATATTATATAACTAGAGAGATATTTAACAAATATAATTGATTAAATATTTCTAACATATATACTTGAGACGGGAACGAGGTAAAATGGGACGGGAAATGAAACTTGTCTCCACCCGCTTCATTAGGTAAGGTGTTTCTATAATGGTAATAATCGAGGTGGCTGGGGTGGGTTAATCTTGCAACTATAAGAATGATAATAATAATAATAAAAATAAGAGATAATATAATATATTGCAGGCGGATGGAAACCAACCCAATTCCTCATCGGATGGGAAAAACCGTGATAAGTATGGCAGGGAAAATTGTCAATCACAGGGTTACCATTCCAAGCAATTCAAAAGATCTCTTAATCTACACACAATCCATACAAGCTTTCATCAATGTCTGATGTTCAAACTTGAAACAGAGAGTTGGAAACATTAGATCAGGTGTTTCTAATGAAAATAGTCCGTGAACCTAGCAGTGCGAAGATAATGGAGACAAACAATGAACAAATCAAATTATAGACACTTTTAATGAGAGATTTGATCTGCTGCAGGAGTGTTCTACTGTGGGATGCCACTGTTGGCAAAGGAGCTGAGGAAGCTATCACATGAACTGACTCACAGAACATCCACACGATTTGAGTTCCACAAGGAGTATTTCTAAATCAAGAAGATTTGCTACCCGAAACACGCCAAGCTGTTATTCTTTTGTAATTATTCAAATGATCACAGAGGAATGAAATACATATATACATATACACACCGCCACAAAAGAATGTAAATGCATATATCATTATATCATACCGTTGATGTAGTCAGTTGTTCAAATGACCAATTTGCGTGTCATTGATATCTTCTACTTTTTCTTTCATAAAAAAAATTGGATATGCCAAAAATTGCAAATATCTATATATATATATATTGCACAAGCAAGAATCAGACAAACTTGATTTTAGAAGCCTCTAATAGACACAAACTTGTCAATCTGTAAGAAAGCAATTGATTCATCTCTATGACTCAAAACGGCTCATAATGACAAACAATAAAATGACCAAAAGTATGAATCATCTCATCTATGAGCAGTAAACTTTACAGATTTCAGATCCCCAAGAAAATGATGATATAAGTATTGAGTTAGCCCTAATCATCTCTTATCCTCCTGAGAAGTTTAGATGCCCAGCGTCGGACACGTCGCTTCAGCGTGAAACCAAGAACTACTCCAGCAACAAAGCAAATTGCACAAAGCTTTGAGCATGTCCACAACGATACAGTTTGTCTGCAATTAGAGATATGGAGTTCAATCTTAAGCATTTTTTAAGTGCTGCCACTCGCCTTCTACTGGTTTCCAAAACAAATAACAAGCATAAAAACATTAAAATAAAATATTAAAAGGAATGGTAACTCAAAATTCAGAGGGAGGCCGAAGTCTTCTCCTCAGGACTAGTATTCTCATTCATGGATTTTCTCAAACAACATTGACCATTATATGTTACGAAATCCCTACAAAATACCTAACGAACTGATCACAAGAATACCAGTCGAACAAATGAAAACAATTGAGCACACCTTGTTTGATTGTAGGCTCATACCTCAGACATAATTTATGCTTTATTTCATGTTTAGTTAGCGATTCACATCTAATAAATCTCATACAATGCATGCCAAATTTACTTCCATAAACAACACCACATGCTACAAGTAAACCAAACCAAAATAAGTGTTGTGTCTTACTCAAGTAGGGTCGGCTACATAAATCATTTTTTTTTATTAAACTCTGTCAAAGACTATACGCTCAATTAAATAAAATAAATTCATATAAATTTTTACAGCAGCATCTCATGTCAGTTTAGGTCTTCTCCTCCCTTGAACATTTTTATTTATGATGCTCATATCACTATTCCTTATCATTGCATTACAAGTATTCGTTGTACATAACCAAACGATCTTATTTCGTTCTCTCAATTTATCTTGAATTGATATTACTTCTACCATTTCATGAATATATTCATTTCTAATTATATCTTTCTTAGTCATACTAGGTATCCATCTTAGCATCTTCATCTTAACTACACTTATTTTATGAACGTGTTGTTTCTTAGATGGCCAATATTTTATCCCTTACTAAACACACTTCTCCACTTGAGTTAACTTCTTTTGATTCCATCATCTTCAATATCTCAATCCTGATTAATAATCGAACTTAGGTAAAGAAAACGTTCATTGATTGCTATCTCCTGATTTTCAATCTTTACTTTTCTTTTATTTCTTTCTACTCATATTAAAGTTACATTCCTTGTATTTAGTTTTAATTCTACTAATTTTAAACTTATTTGACTCAAGAGCATCACTGTAAGTAATGACGAAAAATAAAAATTCTCGTTTCAATAAGCTATTTTCCACTAAACAAATGAATCCTTGAAAAAAAATCTATGGCTTTCACAAATTAAACAATTCAAATAAGCTTTTCTATGCCCTATCTGTTTATTTGTTTTTATGTATATCTTCTTGCAATAATCACACAACTCAGAAAACAACCCCTATCCTCCACCAACCAGTCTTTGTCATTTTTCCCCGTGTTGATTAAGAAGTGGGACAATGACGGGTTTTGCTTCTCCCAACCCCCGGGTTCCACCAAACCCCGCCCCGATTATATTTATTAAATATATTTATACGTATATAATATATTTATTTTTCATTATAATAAAGTTAAAACACTAAAATATTATACTTAATATTAATTTTTATTCATTTATTTTTTGTCTTGTATTATATAATTCTCATTAAGTATAAATTATTATTCGTAATATACTATATTATCTATAATATTTTATTAATATTTTTATTTTCAACTTACAAAATTAACCTACCTCCTATCCCACTTTCGCCATACCCCGATTTGCCCCACCCTCGATATGATACAGGGCGGGAGTGGCCCCAAACCCGATTCCCTTAAAACAAAACCAAACCAAACCAAGTTAAGCCTTAAGTCCCATCAAATGGGGTCGGCTATATGAATCATTTTTCTCTACTCAGCTCTATCAAAGGTCATTTCGTTAGTCAAATTAAGTAAATTCATATCTGTATTTACTATGCTAACCAATGTCAACCTAGATTTATCCCGTCCCCTAACACTTCTATCTACCGTCACTGCATCGCATTTCTTCATTACTGCCTCTATTGGTCTCCATTGAATATGACCAAATCATCTCAATCTATTCTCTCTCAACTTATCTGCTATTGGTGCTGCTCCTACCCATTCATGAATATATTCATTCATAATTCTGTCTTTTCTACTCTTTCCACACATCAACCTTAGCATCCTCATCTCAGCAACACTCATCTTATCTACATTTTGTTTCTTGGTTGTCCAACACTTCGTCTCATACAACATCACTGGTCTAATAGTCGTTCTATAGAACTTTTCTTTTAGTCTAGTGGGTACTCGTTTATCGCATAGTACTCCAGACGCACTTTTCCACTTAAGTCACCCCGCATTAATTCTATTGATTACATTCACATCAATATCCTCCGCCATTGTGATAATCAACCATAAATAACGAAAATGTTCACTGTTAGGTAGTTATTGGTTCTCAATCTTCACTACTCCTCTACTTTCATTGTTATTGTTGCTAAATTTACACTCCATGTATTCTGTATTGGTTCTACTTATCCGAAATCCTTTAGATTTAAGTGTTTTTCTCCAAATCTCCAACTTTGTGTTAATTCCTTCTCTAGTCTCATCTACTAACACGATATAAAACTATGTCTCCTTTTGTTTTAATAGGAAAGAAAAAAAAACAAACTGCTACAAATATGTCAAGTGGCTGTTGCAAAGAAAACACTTTAAAAATGAAATAAAACAGGACAAAAAACACTTTAAAAATGAAATAAAACAGGACAAACATAGAAATAAAATGGTGGGAGCAATCATTTAATGCCAAAAACACACACACACACACACACAATTCCATGACACAAATTTCAAATTATTGCATAAAAAGGCCAATCCCCAATGTTGGTCCCTGATAACTAAACTAATATTTTTTTGGGCTAATGATTACCAAACTGATAAAATAAAATAATTTCTTCTCCAAGACTGTTGATCTTCTTCTACTCAATATATCCACCATACCGAGATGACAAGCATGAACTATCATTTAATGCATGACAAGCTATGAGTTGCACAGAGAAGAACTTTCGTATTTTTTTTATTATTATTTTGGTAGATGCGTATTTTTTTATTCTCAATAATCAATAGGTGTGTATTTTTTTATTATTATTTTAGTTGATGGTGTATTTTTTTATTCTCAATAATCAATAGGTGTGTATTTTTTTTTTATTATTTTGCTTGATGGTGTATTTTTTTATTCTCAATAATCAATTGGTGTATCTCAAGAAAAATCTTTCTGATCCTTACTCCTCCCGCCAACTCGTACTCCCGCCAACTCTATATAACCATCAACATCCATCTCATTCTTCAAAGTGGAGTTAAGTTCTGTATATGGCAAATATATAACCAGAGCTTCTGAAGAGTTAAAGTTTTGTATATGGCAAATATATAACCAGAGCTTCTGAAGAGTTCAAGCAAGCTGATTTTGGCTTATAAGGCAAGCACCGTTTTATGTACATGCATAAGTTTCTCTATTGGTTTCCATTTCTATTTATTTTCTGTTAGTTATTTTTTCTAATCTGTTGTATACTTGAATGATTTCACACTACAGATTTTGAATGGATTTAAGCCAAAGCATTAACTCTCAAGAAGTTGTGGAAGATGAGGATGTTGAAGAGCCAACTGCTACTCCACTTTGGAAATATGTCACAAAAATTTCTGATGAATCGCCCAATTCCAAAGGTGGAGGTGGCTCTGCAAAATTCATATGCAATTTTGGTTGCAAATTGGAGGCTTATACTGGTTCTTATTCCCGAGTCCGTGCACACTTAATAGGCAAATTACCAGGCCAACGAGCTCAAGGTATACAACTATGTCCAAAGGTTAACAAGACTGAGAGGGAGTTGCTAAAACAAGAGGAGCTAGATGCACAACAAATGTTTCTGGGAAATGCCAAGGCCAGAAAATTTCCTAGGTCCACTTCAACATCACAGGTACAATCTCAAACTGTTAGGTCCTCTGATGTGCCACACTCAGTCAAAGTTTCAATTAACAACATGTTTCATATAAGAAATAGAGAAGAAGTGGACCAAACAATTGCTAGGTGTCTTTATAGCAATGGCATTGCTTTTAATGTTGTGAGGTCTCCATGGTGGGCAGATATGGTTACTGCTATTAATAATGCTCCAAAAGGGTACAAGTCTCCTAATTATGAAAAGGTGAGGACCAACTTGTTGGACAAAGAACAAAGCAAGGTTCAACAATCCCTCAACCCTTTAATGCAAGATTGGAGCATACATGGAGTTTCCATTGTTTCTGATGGTTGGTCAAATTTGAAGAATCAAACTTTGATTAACATCATGGCTGTTTCTGGTGGTAAGGCCATTTTTATTAGTGGACATGATGTTTCTTCAAAGGAGAAAAATGCAACAAATATTGCTGATTTGTTGATTAAAGCAATTGAATTTGTTGGACCCTCCAATGTGGTCCAAGTAGTTACTGACAATGCCACTAATTGCAAGGCAGCTGGAGCAATAATTCAGCGCAAGTATTCCCATATATTTTGGTCAGGTTGCTTAGCTCATACTTTGAATCTCTTGATGAAAGACATAGCCAAATGTGAGGATCCAGCTTTGTTATTTGTTGATGAATCATATAAGAGGGGTAAAGAAGTGGTTAAATACATAAAAAGCCATAGCTCTTGTCAATACTTGTTCAAAACATTTTCTGGTCTAGATCTTCTCAAAGCAAAGAAGACTAGGTTTGGGCATCATTTCATTGTTTTACAACGTCTTGTTAAAGTCAGACCTACTTTGTTGTCCATGGCTCTAAGCAAACAATGGGAAAATTTGAGAAAAAATACATCATCTCCTCATCAGCATGACATTGTCCACCAAACCATTATGGATGATGATTTTTGGAGAAAAGCAAAAACAGTCCTCACCATCACAAAACACATTTATAAGATGCTTAGATTTTCAGATTCTGATAAGGTTGTGATTGGAGAGGTTTATGAGTTGATGGATACTATGTTAGGGAACATTAAGGATACTCTTTCAAATGATCCTATTGTTTATGATTTGATACATCAATTTGTGGTGGAAAGATGGAATAAGATGAACATTCCTTTGCATTGTCTAGCCTATATTCTTGTTCCTAAGTACTACACAAATTCTTGGTTGTCAAAATCTGCCCCAGGTGGTGTGAGAAGAAAAAAACCTCATTTTGATGTTGAGGTGCAAAAGGGGTATCTTGAGGCAATTGAAAAAATGATTTGTGATCAAACTGAAGCTGTTGTTATAAGAAAACAAATTAGTGATTTTGTTAGTTGCAAAGGAGTTTTTTCACAACCTCAAGCAGTAAATGATAGAGCAACCATGGATGCACTATCATGGTGGCATTTGCATGGTGGGGCCGCACCTGAATTATATTCTTTAGCATTGAAAGTGTTGTCTCAAAGTGTAAATACTTCTTGTGCAGAAAGGTGTTGGAGTACCTATTCCTACATTCATAATGCGAAAAGGAATAGGTTAAATGTTGATCGAGCTGAAAAGTTGGTTTTTGTGCACTATAATCATAGACTCTTGTCAAGGTATAGGGAGGATTATGAAAATTTAAAAAATTGGGATGCACATCCAGAAGATGCCAACATTGAAGAGGACATTATGGCAATAGAAGAAAGAGACAACGTATCACTTTCAGACAGTGAAGATGATACTACTCTTGCAGCTTCAGTTGTTCAACCATGTCCAACTCCAACACCATTGCCTACATCTTCATCATCTCCACTTCCTACTTCTCAAGAGCATTCAATGGAACAAGTAGCAGCACAAAGGAGACTTGAAAAAGCATGTGGCAAAAGACAGAAGAAGTGAAAAAAAAGGCAAAAGAAGTGAAATATTTTGTTATGTGGAATTGTAATATTTTATTTTTTACCTTAGTTTTTGACTTTCTTTTTGGTTGCTTACTTTTTGGAAATTATAAGAATTAGAGATCGCTTTTAGTTGTCAAGTCTTTTTGTTATTAGATGATTAAGAATTAATGATATTTTGTCTTAGTGATGAATTTTCTAATGGGATTCTATTATATTTTTGTGTAGCAATGCAAATGATCAAATTTAATATATTTAAATAAAGCCGCTCCAAAAAATAAATACATAATATAGTGCACAATTGGACCAAGGATATAGTGCACAGAATTAATGATGAGAATTAAAGATCTCTTTACAGATCTCTTTTAGTTGTCAAGCCACTCCAAAAAATAAGCCACTCCAAAAAATAAATACATAATATAGTGCACAATTGGACCAAGGATATAGTGCACAGAATTAATGATGAGAATTAAAGATCTCTTTACAGATCTCTTTTAGTTGTCAAGCCACTCCAAAAAATAAGCCACTCCAAAAAATAAATACATAATATAGTGCACAATTGGACCAAGGATATAGTGCACAGAATTAATGATGAGAATCCGTTTCGTGCAACTAAGTATAAAACTATGTCTCCTTTTGTTTTAATAGGAAAGAAAAAAAAACAAAATGCTACAGATATGTCAAGTGGCTGTTGCAAAGAAAACACTTTAAAAATGAAATAAAACAGGACAAACATAGAAATAAAATGGTGGGAGCAATCATTTAATACCAAAAACACACACACACACACACACACACACACAATTCCATGACACAAATTTCAAATTATTGCATAAAAAAGGCCAATCCCCAATGTTGGTCCCTGATAACTAACGGCCTTGGGTGTTGAATAGCTTGATGTACATTGTTAAACCCATTTTCTAATAAATTAAGTTTTGAAGATAATGTCATCTAAAATGGCATTACAGTTTTAGTTCCAAATGGTCCAGAGTTCAAGTCTTATCACCTTCAATATTTCCGTCAAAGTGCACCTTGTTCTGTTCAGTCCGTTTTCGTGCACCTTATTCTCAATCTACTGGTCTCTCCACATGCAAGATGAGGTTGCACGTGAGGAGAAATGTTAGCCTGATTTTTGGATTTTGGACCAATTTCCAAACAATTTAAACTTTTGAGACAATTGGTGATCTAACACCAGGAGTAGACCAGATACAGAACTAACAGTAGGAGTAGTCTAATATGCACAAAGAGATTGCCCTAACAAGGACCCGTATTGGCAGCCCAGGTATTTTACTACTGCATCAAGCGAAGGCTCCTCATTCGCTTTTGTTGCACTCATCACTTTTGGTAAACCAAGCATGCTTGTAGAATTTTATTTTCAGCAAGCATGATTTAACCCAAACACAATATATTGGCAAATTCAAACTGCTAACAAACCAATCCATGCGCTTTCAAAGCTTGTAAAAGTTACCAATGCATAAGGAAACATTTGATTAAAAAGCATGTTCACCAAAGCTATATGTAGCTTCTATGCTGCTTTTCAGCCAAAAAATCATATGTTCTGCATACTCGGTGGCAATCTTCAAGCAAATGATACAGATCCAAAATATGATCCTTTTTTCCAATTAAATTATATATATATATTATTTTTGTAAACCTGTTACATAACTAAATATATTTTGAAGGTTTTAAATTAACTACAACAAATTTTACATCTTAGATAGCATTAACCATGATAGAAACTACGTCCAAAAGTGAAGATTGACATAAAATCCAAAATTGACATCACTATTGCAAACTCTAAAACAGTGTTTTCATCATATCCACACAGCAATAGCGATTGACAAAAAGCCAACCAGAAAAGCTAGTGATCCAGTGTTGCAAAGAAAATGAACTCAATGTTCCAATAACAAGGCAACATAATACTAAGATCACAGTGAAAAGTACAACTTTTTTCAATCAAATGTATCGCAAGAAGTAATATGTACAATATCTGAAGGAATCAACAGATAAATACGAATTAAGAATACCCATTAGTAAACTTGACGTGAATTTGAGAGAGAGAGAGAGAGAGAGAGAGAGAGAGTACCTGGGAGGTCTGGTGACGAGGACTTGAGATTGGTCAGCAGACAAAGCAGAGGCCCTTCCTCCTCCGCTGATGGAAGAAGAAGAGAGAAAGCCCAGTTTAGGGTCTTGAGAAAAATCACGGAACGCTTTCTGTAAACCCTCCATAGTTGAAATCAAAATCGAAATCAATAGTCTCAGCCTCAGTCTATCAACATTACATAAAACCCTACCACACACAGTACATACAGACAGTGGAAGATCACCCAATTTGTGTGATTAGCGCGCTGAACGCTCCCACTGTTTTCTCTTTTCTAGCTTTTTAGGGTTTTGTGGCTTTTTCAGAATCTATTTCCTGTCTTTATTTATAGAAACAAAAAAAAAAAAAAAAAAAAAAAAAAAAAAAAAAAAAAAGAAAGTTTGGTGAATAAACTTAAAATAAAAAAAATAAAAAATATATATGATTTTTGTTTGAGCAAAAGCAAATATAATTTTAAAAAAAATAATTTATGTTTTTATTATCACCAAACTAGGGAATGAAAGTTTGTTTTCTTTAGTCCTTGCTTCAGGAAGGGTCACTTACGTGAATTATTATTATTATCATTATGAAAAATAGTTTGTTTTCTTTAGTCCTTGCTTCAGAAAGGGTCACTTACGTGAATTATTATTATTATTATTAAAGGTTGTTTATTTAATTAAATAAAATAAATCCGCGTCTTTTTCAGTATCAAGTTAGCTTAGATCTTTTCCTCTTGTTTGTTATATATTAAAGTATCTCTAATAGGCAATGTTATAATAATAATAATATTATTATTATAATTATAATTATAATTTGATAGTAAATAGTAAAAAATAGTAGAATTATAATAATGGTGCTCTCATAGTCAGATGTCATTTTGGCTAAATCAAATACAAAAACTGGTGTGTTAATTTCTATGTTTGGTTTTACTAAAATGGCAGTTTTGCAAAAAATTATTTATTTTGCTAGGAGAGAATAAGGTTTTGTCTGAATTGACACATATAGTACCTGTCAAAACTTTTATCAAATTTGGCACAAGTTTGGTATTTGCCAAATTTGACAACTACTATATGGCATTATTGGAGCACCATTTTCTTCTCCAGGTGTCAAATTATAACAATAGCAACTCTAATGATAAACTATTGGAGATGCTCTTACTATATCATCTTAGGTGGTGTTTTATAAAGGTGAAAACTGAAAATTAAAAATTAAGTATTGAAAACTGAATGCTAAATTTTTTAAGCTAAAAAGTTATTTGATAAAAATTTAAATGCTAAATTAAAAATAAGTTGTTTGATAAAAATTAAGTATATGATCGAATTCGAAATTTATTATTTTTAAATTATATATTTTAATTTTTATATTGTAATAGTGGTGGTGATAGTGGTATGATGATGGTGGTGGTGGTGGTGGTGGTGGCAGTGATCGTAGCGGTAGCATTAGCATTGACAGTGGTGGTAGTAATGGTAACAATGGTAATGGTAGAAAATGATGGTGATATTTATAACAATAATGATAATGGTAATGAAGGTGGTAGTGGTAGTAGTGATGGTGGCAATGGCGACGGTGGCATGATGGTGATGGTAGCAATGGTAGTTGTGGTGGCAATGACATGGTGATGTCATGGTGATAGCGATAACGATAGTAGTAGTAGCAGTAGCGATGGTTGTGGTGGTGGTGGTGATAATGAGTTTATAATAGTATATCTCAATAGTTATGTTTGATATTTATAAATTTAGTCAGAATTAAGTGAGTTTCATATGATTTAAAATTTTCTTAAATTTTATTTTACATTTTAAGAGGCACTTAAGTTTACAAGTGATATTAATTGTGGTTATCAAATGGACTTAATTGATTATTACTTATACATTCAGTTTTAAGTGTTGAATCAGATTATCAAACACCGTTTTAATTTGTTTCTTATATATGTACCATTTCACAAAAACATTAATTTTTAATTTTATCTTTCATAATTTTACTACACATTCATCTAAATATTTCCATCTCAACTATACTAATTTTATATAGAGTAGTGATTAAGAGCTCTAAAACTAGAGTTATAATTTGAGCTCTAGTGATTGGCATAGGAAAAAAAAAACCCACAAATAAGCAAGCATAAACATCACATTACATGGTAAGTCCCACCATTAGAGTTTTTCCTAGAGCTCCTCCTAGAGCTCTAAAATAAAACTTCCAATCATTTTTGTTTTATATATATGTTATTTTGATGACAATTTTTTTTTCTTTTCTTTTCTTAAAAAAATAAAAATAAATTACACTTTTATCACCTTCGCTATGGATAATTTTCACTTTACCTCTTGCCACTTGATCTTTGGATTTAGGGTTGGTTTGGGATATTCTAAAAAAGTGTACTTTTTGACTTATTAGAGATGTGATGTGATTTAAATAAGATGATGTGACTTAAATAGGATAGTGACTTTTTGACTTTTTGTATTATTTAGTTTATGCCAAATCAACCCTTACTTCAATCTCAATTTTTTGATAGTATTCTATTATGAAAAAATGATCGAAAAAATTACATATGAGTTATACATATCAATTTTATAATCACAATGCTTATTCAGAAACTAATTTATTCACACTTCCAATGCATCATAGGTAATGTTGCTCAAGTTACATACCTCTTGCCACTTGATCTTTTGAGTTACTTCAATCTCAATTTTTTGATAGTATTCTATTATGAAAAAATGATCGAAAAAATTACATATGAGTTATACATATCAATTTTATAATCACAATGCTTATTCAGAAACTAATTTATTCACACTTCCAATGTATCATAGGTAATGTTGCTCAAGTTACAAATGTACACAAACAGCTAGAAAATTAAAGAATTAAATCAATTCAATCTTTATAAGTTGGATTGGTTTTATTTTTTTATTTTAAAAAAATATTTGTTCAACTTGGAGTTTTAAAATCATGCACAAATTGGACTAACTTAATACGTAAATATAGGATAGTGTTGTGATATACACTCCAAAAATAGTGTGCACAATATACAAGTTATGTCATTTATAAATTTAATTATTACAAATAACATTACTCAATACTATGAGAGTGTAATTTTAAATAAAAAAAAAATTAAGTTATAAAAGTATAACTAAACAACTCTTTTATTATAATTAAAATAATATCATAACTACTATCACAATATATTATTACTAATAACATAAGTAATAACATATAACCATTAATACAAAATTCATAACTAATACACACCCAATAGAATTTCTCTTAACTGTAAATTTAGTCCTAACCGGAACCAAATCCCTAATGCCAAGTAGTTGTATTTAGCAGTAACCGCAATCAGAGGTTGAGGCCAACAATTGTCCACGCCCAAAAACAACAAAAGCGAATCTATCCCCACCCCATCTTCCCCAACCAATCATCATCACCCTCTTGCTCTTGCCTCCCCCCAACACACGCCTCCCTTATCCTTCCTCAACACCAACAACAACCAATAACTCACAAACACGACAGGTACTACTATTTTTTTATATTACAATAATGTTACATACCACAAAAAAAAATATAATCTCACAATTCTATTCATTTGTAATTGCTTTAGGAAGGAAAAAAAATAAAAATATATTATTAATTCACGTTATTTAAGAATCATAAAAGTTTCTAATTTTTGAAAGTTTTAAATATTTTTATACTATATTATTATAAAAATATTTAAAACCTTCAAAAGTTAGGTATGCATAATCTCTAAAATGATGTGACTAATCAATTTTTTATTTTTTATTTTTTTAAAACCAAGCACAAGTGAATAACGTTGTAAGATTGTATTTTTTTTTGGGAGTACGTGGCATCACAGAAAATCTATCCCCACCCCATCTTCCCCAACCAATCATCATCACCCTCTTGCTCTTGCCTCCCCCCAACACACGCCTCCCTTATCCTTCCTCAACACCAACAACAACCAATAACTCACAAACACGACAGGTACTACTATTTTTTTATATTCCTCAACACCAACAACAACCAATAACTCACAAACACGACAGGTACTACTATTTTTTTATATTACAATAATGTTACATACCACAAAAAAAATATAATCTCACAATTCTATTCATTTGTAATTGCTTTAGGAAGGAAAAAAAATAAAAATATATTATTAATTCACGTTATTTAAGAATCATAAAAGTTTCTAATTTTTGAAAGTTTTAAATATTTTTATACTATATTATTATAAAAATATTTAAAACCTTCAAAAGTTAGGTATGCATAATCTCTAAAATGATGTGACTAATCAATTTTTTATTTTTTATTTTTTTAAAACCAAGCACAAGTGAATAACGTTGTAAGATTGTATTTTTTTTTGGGAGTACGTGGCATCACAGAAAAAAACAAATTAAGAGCAGGATTTCTCTGTGGAGATTAAAAAGAAAGTAACTCTGCAACCGCATCAACTCATTCTTCGTTTTCTCCCAAAGCGTCACACCTTCTATCCCTATACGCTTCACTGCTGCTGCTAATGGCTTCCCTCTCCCTCCCAAACCACTCTCTTCCTTCTCTACTTCCATCCCAATCTCCTAAAACCCCATCATCGTCATCATCATCATCACCTCCCTACCTCTCCATTCTCCCCAAATCATCATCACATTCTCAATTCTATGGTCACAAACTCTCCTATGCCTCCTCCTCTCTATCATTCCCATCTTCTGCTTCTTCACTCAAGACTTCCATTTTTTCCAAGGTATATGCACTTTGTTCGCTTCTTCATACTATGTTTGGATCTTGAATTTGTGAATAATTCAGTCAAGACTTCCGCTTTTCCTGCTTTTTCTTTATCCTCTACCAAGCCCTTTCCAAATCCAAAATACATACACAAATCTTATGTATTGTATGTGTAATTGATGTCTTATATATAATAATTGCGGGTATGTATTTGTTTTAAGGTAAACAAAGGTGGGGTGCCTCCAAACTTTTCACTGAAAGATCAAGATGGAAGGAATGTGAGTCTCTCCAAATTCAAAGGAAAACCTGTGGTTGTCTACTTCTACCCTGCTGATGAATCCCCTGGTTGCACCAAACAGGTACTCTTCCATTTCTCTTCCCTTTCTTTTCCTCCATGCTGTGTTTGGATTTGGATTTGGATTTGGATTTATGGAGGGAAAAAGAGAAGAGGAGAGAAATGTGAATGAAATATACAAGCTAAATTTTTTTCACATTTCCCTTCACTTTTTTTTTTTTTTTTTTTTTTCCGCTTTCCCTCTAAAAATTCCTAATCAAATCCAAAATCCAAACACGATCCTAATGTTACAGTAGTTATAATTCAGTGTTAAGACTTCCAAGTTTTG